ACATTAACAACACATTTCATTCCTCAGCTTTAGCAGCTCCTTTAATTCCACAGCTGATGCTGCTAAAAATGACAGATTTTCTTTTCTGGATCTCTAACAGAAGGACTTCAATTTCAGAACTCGTGAAGTTCTTTTTACTTTGCGATGTCATTTATGAATGAACACTTCCTGGTATGTGGGGCAGGAAATGTATATCCTTATTGTGTTTTTGGGGTGGTAGATTATGTTAATCTTCTCTCCCCGTGCATGAGCACCTGATACACATTCATCAGTTTACACTGCTCATTTACACACTTTTCCTGAAGATAGAAGAGTTTGTTGAATCTGATGTGGCATGTTCGTACGAACCCTTCGTACGAACAAAAGTAAGAGAAATTTAGGATGAGAATACAAACATGTTCTTGCATGAGGCCCAATGAGTCCCCAGCATCTCCCACTTGTACAGGTTTGTCTGTGGGGTAGAGCTCTAAAYAGGTTGGGGAGTGATACAGATCACATATGTTTTTGTACTCTCTTCAGGACTCGTCTCTTGTTTTCAGGCAGTGCAAACCATTACAAATCAAAYGTATTGCTCCCTGCAGAGTGACCACTGTGAGTGGGATGGAAAATTCATGGCTGTGTAGTTTGTCAGATGTGTTCATGCTGATGTACTGGCACGCACCATGAATGRGTTTCACAGAAAGTTGAGCAGAGAGGAGGAGGAGGGGAAAAAAGTAGGATGAGAATTTCAGAATGTTCTSTTCGTGCACAATGGACCACACTGTGAGTCATGCTGCCATTCTTTTTTGTGTGTCAGACTACCATTTAAGAGAATGGCTGCTCATCAACACGTGCCTCCATTAGAGCGGACCACGCTGTCAGCTCTGGGGTGATGTCACCCTGGAGGAAACCAGTCATGGCACCGCAGCAGTGCCCTTACAGTTCAGTGACTCAGGATCACAGAGAAAAAACTTCACTTGACCCAAAAGTTAATGAGAAGATCTACTGACCCTTCCAGGTTTGACATTGAAAGAAAAGACATGCCAGCTGCTGTTTGACAGACGCATGAAGATGGACTAGGGCTGCAACAACGAATCGATAAAATTGATTATTAAAAGCGTTGGCAACTAGGGCTGCCACAAACGATTATTTTTATAATCGATTAATCACCGATTATTTTTTCGATTAGTCGACTAATCAGATCATAGGTTAATTGAATATAAAACATACAGCTTATTGCGCCAGAATGCAGCTGCTATTATATAACCATGGTTAGATTTTAGCTATATGCTAACTAAAAATAATTGCTGTGGAAGGAAAGTTCTGCTCTGCAGATATTGCACAGGTTTCTCTTTCATTT